CCATGGGCTTCACTGCGACCGGGATCGCGGCCTCCTCCCTGGCCGCCAAGATGATGTCCGCAGCAGCCATCGCCAACGGGGGCGGGATCGCAGCGGGCGGCGTGGTGGCCACGCTGCAGTCCGTGGGTAAGTGACCCCAGGGGGGAACCAGAGCAGGTGACGACCCAGGCCAGAGCCTGAGTCCCTTCCTCTCCTTCCTCCGAAGTTCCTTGTTCCCAAGTATACCAAGGTTGTCTCCCGATCGCCCGCCGTACCCACAGTCCGTCTCCTTCCCAGCGAGGTCTGGGTTGACTTAGGAGGCTGAGGAGGTGCTGGGTAAGGAGAAGAAGGAAGGAGACCCTGTCAGGGCGCAGGATGCCTGGGCTCTGTGCTCAGCCCTAGCCAAAGCTGGAGCCCCGGTGACCTGGGCAGCTCCCTACCCATCTCGGGGCCTCAGCAGCCCCTCCCCGCAAGGTTGATACCATGTAGCTCTCAGTTCCCATGAATTCACCCAGTCTTCACCTTTCAGCCTCCTCTGTCCAAAGCAGAGCCTGGGGAGGTTGCACAGAGGAATGGGGGGGGGGGGTCCCCTGCCACCTCTTTCCCCTGTATTCACTCTAGATCTATTCCCCAGGGGCAGCTGGACTCTCCACTTCATCCAACATTATCTTGGGCTCCGTTGGGGCTGCTGTGGGGGCCTTGTTGAGGAATTCAACTGGATCCTAAGCCTGAAGAGGTCCAGGAGGGAAAAAATGTGTCCTGAGTTGAACCCACAAAACCTGCACTCAGATCACAGAAAGATGAGGAATAAAGGCCACGTGCCCATGTGCCTCCTGTCTTTGCACCTTGTGTTTCTGTTTGGAGTGGTGCTCCCGGGGGTTGAGACCTCCCAGTTCTCCAAGCCAGCCTTGACCTGGAGGGCAGAGAGGGAGACCGGGTGGGCCCAGCACAGTCAGCAGGCAGGAAGTGATGGATTGTGTGGTCCAGGACTGTCCTTGGGTGTTCTGTGGCCCTCAGTTTATCCCGTCTTCAATGCTGGGTTGACAGACATTCCTGCTGGGAGGCAGAGATGAGGGACACATAGGGAACCACTGACCCCAGAATCCTCAGTCTGTCCTTGTAAATGACTCTAGGTGCCCTGGATGAATACCATATTGCTCTGTCCTTACCCACAGTCTTATGGGGCAGCCAACAAGCCATCAAGAAAACAGCGTGCCCAGTGTTACGGTGGGGCTCTGGGCACCTCAGGAAGGAGAGTGGATCAAGAGTGGCCACCACACTGTCTAGAAAGTGGAAAGAGAAATTCACACCCTCCCCTAAAGCCTTCAGTCCTTGTCAGCTACTGCAGTGGACAGGAGAGGTCTACCCTGAGCCCCAGGAGTCTATGATGTCAGGAAGAATGGTACTTAGCCACAGAAGTGTGACAAAAGACACCATGCTCCATGTGGTGATAGACTGGGACCTGCTGGAAGAGGGCTAGGTGGGCAGTGCACTGAGAGGCTCAGCAAATCTGGCCCTGGAGGGTAGAGGCAAAGGGAAAGGTGTCCTGGGGGTAAGTAGGTCCCTGGGGCTCAGCATGAAAGTTAGAAAGAGACAGGTAATAAGATGCTTCCAAGCCAATGAGGGTTCAAGGCAAATACCAGCAAGCCTGCCAGGGGAAGGGGACATCTAGGCTGCAGCAGGATGAGGCTATGGTCTGTGCACAGTGACCCACCTGCTCAGGATCCCCTTGGACAATGCCATGCATGTGCCAAGGCATAGCAACCCTCTGGTAGGTCACCTCAAGAAGTGATGTATGGTCTTTGAATCTTTGGGATTTTTCAAGAAAAGCCTCATTTTCAACTTTAAAATGTTTCTCCCTGGGTTATCTTTTCCACAAGTAAATCCCTTGATACCAAAGATACTCAAGAAATTTATGTGAGGCTGAAACTGTTGAACTACTCTGTACCCCACTTCTGCCCCCAAATCTTTCATCAACTTGAAATTGTGCTTCCAAGAGCAATAGCAGCATTGTACCCACAGGATACTTAGGATCATTTCTTACAACTTCTTCAGCAATATCCAGGAAACAGGGCCTGTAGCGAGGCCTTGCTTGGAATGCTGGGAGTTTATATGGTGAGCCATGGGCAGCAGCTTGACCACAGTATTTATTTGTCAAATGTCACTTGTTCTGATCCTCTTATTCCACTACTTTCAGGATTGCTCTGTAGCTATTTAAGGTGTCTCAAAAGTTGCTATGGAGTCTTGGGGACGGAAGGCTGGGCTCTGAGGACACAGAAGCCCTTTACTTCCTTTGCCAGTGCAATCACTGAGGAAGTCACGTCACCTCCACCCACATCCCTCCTGGGCCCCTGTAATTCCTCAGCTCAGAACCTCTCCTGAGGCAGGAGGTGCAGAGCAGCCCCAGGTTGGGGACTTGAGGGAAGAGGGTGGTGAGCATCTTGCACAAGGAGACACTGCCATGCCTTGAAGAAGGCCCAACTGCAGGGGCTCTGTCTCCAGGCAGCAATGAACTCCAGAGAAGAATCCAGCTGGAAGCTGCCTCAATCTGCAGGAACGAGGCTGGAACCCCCACACTTGCGAGGAGGAGATGCCCAAGTAACCCAAGCCTGGCACAATAGGCCCGACTCCTCCTAACCTACTCCCTCCACGTGAGAAACCCAGCAAGAGACTGGAGGGCGGTACAGTTGTGAGACCTAAGTGACTCCATTCTAAAATTTGGTGGCATAAATTCCAGTTCTAAGAAAAACTACAAGATGTATTTTGACCACTTGCATGTGATAGTGTTCAGCCGTCCCCTAGCAACAGCTAATCAGTAGTTAGCAACCATTTCCAGCTTGGATTCGGAAGGCACAATCCATCAGGTTTAATTGCCAATCTAGAACCTTGCTGTAACCACTGTAAAAACCCCTGCTGATTTGGAGTTGGGGCTCTCAATCTTGACCCGCTTCGGCAGTGACGGTTGGGAGTCCCTGCTCAAGCTTGAATAAACGACCCTCGTGTGTTTACATCGGAATTGGCTCCTTGGTGGTCTTTGGGGACCTCGAAATCTGGGCACAACACAGTCACAGAGCCCCAGGGTGTAGGGCTGAGATCTGGGCGGAGTCCTTGATGATTCTTGTCCCCTTTTTCCTTCCCCAGCAAGCCCCACCTGGACATTCACTTGAGGACTGCAGAGCGGCCACCATGCTGCCCGAGGCAACGCCGCACTCATTGCCAATGGCTGTCACCAGCATTATCTTGGTCACCATGAACAAGGTTGTGATTCCTGCCTTGGTGATGCCCATGGTGCCCAGCACCATAGGCACAGCCCCCATGGGCAGAGCTGTGCGAGGGGCAGTCAGGGGTGGACTAGCAAGGGACTCATACTGGGGTCAAGCCCGGGGGTCCTCACAGTGCAGAGGAGGTGGGCTCTGAGCTCACGGGAAACCATGGGTATGGGCAGCAGTGAACACCAGGGAACAGGGCCAGGTGGGGAAACTGGAAGGAAGGGCGGAGTTCCCCCAACAGCTTCCTGAGCCAGGCTCTGTTGCTAGCAACAACTTCACTGGGGAAGTCACTTGTTGGGACCTCGATGTCTGCCTTGATGCAATGCTGGGACAGTGATGGTTCTGAGCTTTGATTTCAAAGAAGCAAGTCTGGCCTGAGACTGTGTGAGGAAGGAGCACTTCAGAGCTGCTGGAAGCTGCGGCTCCGGGATCCAGGGAACTCCACCGAGCACATGGGAACGCCCCTGCCCCAGGGTGGCCGAACCCAGGGCACCACTGAGAAGCACTCACTCCACTCTCTGGATCCTGGAGGAGGGGAGGAGCTGATTGCAGCTGGCAGTTCACAAAGCTTCACTCTGGCTGCAGGAGGAGGGCCAGGTAGGCAGAAGACCAATGAGATAGGTTTCTTTTCCTCAGGAAACCGAAACCAACCCCAGCCTCCCTTTCTGGTTAGCAGGAAAATGTGGTTATTGTAGAAGCAGGATTTGGTTACTATATTCATCATTGCCAGTTAATATAAATGCTTTGTTGTCTTTATATCATTGTTTTATCAATGACATTTTATAGTGACTTTTAAGGATTTTTATTGTATTTGGAATACATTGTACAAACATTTCTTCTTTTCCAGAATTTATTTAGAGTTTCTTTTTTTATTGACATCAATGACAGTCTTCAAAAAGGGAGAACGTTGCAGATTTTTAAATGTTCTTTTTTTTTTTTAACAATTCCTGTTTAAGGTTAAAATGAGTAGGCAGTTTTGTAACTGAAAGGTGAAGAGAGAGAGGGAGAGACAAAGAGAGGCAAAGACAGAGAGAGAGAGAGAAGAAGAGATAGAGAGATTCTTGCCATGTTAATTACATTAAACATTCTTCCTAGGGTGGTATAAAAAACTAGAGAAGTTGTTGAAGTTGATAGAATAAATTCACCTTTTGTAGACTCATTCTGCACTTTCTTAGGACATCTTTTTCAAATGTGAGAGCAATTGGAATAATTTTACTTGCCAGAGACTCCTGCAGTAAGTCTGTAATCCCTATCTGCCCAGTATGCTAGACAGTATGCTGGTTGAAGAAAAATTTAAGTCCTTGCGCTTGCGCAGGAGGTGGCGAAACCACTGAGCTAAATCCCCAGCCCTTTAAGACAGAGTTAAAGAGAAAGTGTGAACTGGAGCAGCCAGTTCTCCTTTGGCAAAATAGCACTGGCCCATCTCTTCCACTGAATTTTATTATTCATCAATCAGGGTAAAAGGTGAAGTACGTGTATAGATGTGCAATACATGAAATTTCCATGGAAACCAATGCAGGCAAGGCTTTAAAGAGAAGTCAGAGCATTTTCAAATTAGAAGCAAGATAGACAAAATATATGGCTGTAATTAGAGCACTGTCCTGCAAGCTATGAAGGGACTAACTGTGGGAATGGAATTTGGATGTTATTACTCCAACCTCAGCTATGGATGTTGTCTTGTATTAGTCCCACAGCTTCATAGGACATTACTCTGGCCTCAGCTGTGGCCATTAACAGGGAGGTCATATTGACCTCCTCGATACCGCAGTGCTCATGAGATAATTCTGTGAGTCACGTAGCTTCAGTCAGACTCGCTTTTTTTTTTTTTTAACTTAAATTCTTTTATTGGTACATTGTAGGTATACAACAAATTTACATTTCTCACTGGGAATTGTACCTTTACATGATGCATCTTGGTTCTTATTTTTTCCCCATTCCTAGCCCTCCCTTCACCCCCTCCACCCTTCCCTATTTACAAAGACTTTATTTCCATTTTTTCCATTTCTCATCATTTTTCCCATTTCTCATCATTTTTCCTTTCCCTTCTTTCCTTTCCCCTGCCCCTCCCACTACCCCTACCTCTTTGGACCTTTTCTTCCTATTTTGCATTATCGATTATTCATTCTAATCATTGGTACATTTTAGGTATACAATATAATGACGTTCATCATTGGAAATATGCACCTTTACATAGTCTCTCTTGGTTCTTATTTTTCACCCTTGCCCAGCCCTCCCTTCACCCCCTCCATCTCTCCATGTCTGCTGTAATTTCACCCTTTTCATTCCTAATTGTATGGATTTGGGCCTTTTCTTTCCTTTTTCTGATAAGGTTGGCTAAGGGTTTGTCAATTTTGTTGATTCTTTCAAAGAACCAACTCTTGGCTTCATTGATTTTTTGTATCGTTCTCTTAGTCTCCATTGCATTGATTTCTGCTCTGATCTTTATAATTTCCTCCCTTGCATGAGCTTTGGGTTTGTCCTGCTCTTCTTTTTCTAGAAGCTTGAGGTTCAGCATCAGGTTGTTTAATTGGGCTCATTCTGTTTTCCTAATATGCATATTCACTGCT